GCAGGCATCGCGCAGGGATGTATCGTTGGTGGCGTGGACCGCCACATCACCCCCTTCGTTGTTTTGAAGTCGGGATTTGAAAACGTACTGTTTTCCGTGACACTCTGCCACTCCGCGTTGTAGTTTCCTTAGGTGGAATGTCTGTTGGAGTATTCTGTGCTGGCTGATGTGTCTCCCGAGGTTTGTCGCTTGATTCTTGATTTGTCAATATGTAGGCAGGCTTAAGGCGGTCGATAGTTACGTGGACGGTTTTGCCGTTAATCCGTAACTTGTAAATCTTTTCGCCTTTGCTGAGGACTTCGTAAGGGCCGTCAAAAGTGGGTTGTAGCGCCCGCGTTGGTGCGTCGTGCCTGAGGAACACGTGTGTTGCGTCTGTCAGGTCTTTGTGCTGGAAGATAGCAGGCGAACCGTGCCTTTTGATTGGCTGTGGCCGTAGACTTTCCATCGTCTTTCTGAGCCTTAGTAAGAAGTCGCTCGTTTCGTTCGGTTGAGTAGTTTCTTGTAGAAACTCTCCCGGAAGTCTTATAGTTTCTCCGTATACAAGTTCTGCCGGAGTTGCGTGGAGATCTTCCTTAACTGCTGCTCGGATGCCCATCATGACGACGGGTAATACTTCCGTCCAAGCTTCGGTTTCGTGGCATTTGATGGCCGTTTTAATTTGACGGTGCAAACGTTCGACCATGCCGTTAGCTGCGGGGTGATAGACTGTTGTATGTATGTGCGTGGTGCCTGTTAGCCTAGTAAGCTGACGAAACAGGTCGGCCTCAAATTGCCTTCCCTGATCCGTAGTGACCCGCGTAGGTGTACCAAATCTTGCGATCCAGTGATTGAAGAGATTCTGGGCTACCGTCTCTGCGGATATATCTGCCACCGGTATAGCTTCAGGCCATTTGGTAAACCGGTCAATGATTGTGAGGCAGTATCTGAAACCTTTCGAGATAGGTAGAGGCCCAACGAGGTCCATGTGTATATGTTCGAATCGTTTGGTAGGGCCAATGAATTGTCCTAAAGGCGATTTGTTGTGCCTGTGGACTTTTGCTTTTTGGCACGCGAGACATGCTCTAGCCCATTCTTGGCAGTCGGCCTTAATGCGTGGCCAGACATACCTCTGTGCGACTATCTTTGCCGTCGCTCTGGTTCCTGGGTGCGATAGACTGTGCAGTGATTGAAACACTTGTCTCCTGTACTCTTTTGTAACGAAGGGACGTGCTATTGCGGTTGATGTGTCACAATACAATGCTGCACTCGTTCCAGGGATTGATACCTTTGTCAATCTCAATGAAGAGTTCCCTTTTAAGATGTCTTCCACCTCGGTATCCTCCTCTTGAGCTTGTGATAGTTTCTCTAGGTTGATTGCGGACTGAATCTCCTCTACTCGTGAGAGGGTATCAGCGACTATGTTGTCTTTACCCGCGATATGACGTATATCGGTAGTAAACTGCCCGATGTATTGTAAATGTCGTGCCTGCCTAGGAGAGCTGTGGAGTGGATCTTGTCGAAAGGCGTATGTGATCGGCTTGTGATCGGTGAACACCGTGAAGATCCTTCCTTCTAGCATGTGCCGATAGTGCTTAATGGCGGCGTAGATTGCTAGAAGCTCTCTATCGTAGGGGCTATACTTTTGCTGGGTCGGATTCAGCTTTTTACTGAAGAAGGCTAATGGTTGCCACTCTGTTCCGTCCCGTTGTTGAATGACTGCTCCGATAGCTGTATCGGAAGCGTCGATTGTAAGAATGATGTCTGCCTCTGGCTTTGGGTGTGCCAACTGAGTTGCGCGAGACAGACTGTTCTTACAGTTTGCGAAGGCTGCTTCCAGTTCTGCGTTCCATGTTATGGGAGCCTTCTTTTTGGTTTTGGTACCGCTGAGTAAGCCGTTTAAAATTGACTGATCCTTAGCGGCCTTTGGAATAAATCTGCGATAAAAATTGAGAGTCCCCTGCAGGAACCGTCGAAGCTGTTGAATGTTCTCAGGTTTGGGAAACTCCTTGATTGCTGCTATTCTTTCTGGCGGAGGTTGAGTACCGTTCTCTGAAACCTCGTAACCAAGGAAAAGAACCTTTGGCCTTCCGAAAACGCATTTGGAAGGGTTGAGTAGAATGCCGTATTTCTGGAGTCGTTCGAAGAGTATGCGTAAATGCTTCTTGTGTTGTTCCTCGTTTTCTGATGCGATGAGGATGTCGTCAATATACGCATAGGCAAAATCCAAGTCGCTTGTAATCTCGTGAATGAAGCGTTGGAAAGTTTGTGCGGCATTGCGTAACCCGAACGGCATGTAAAGGTATTCGAAGAGTCCGAAAGGAGTTGTTATAGCCGTTTTTGGAATATCCTCCGGGTTGACGGGTATTTGATTGTATGCTCGCACTAAATCAATTGTCGAGAAGATCTTCTTTCCGTGCAAGTTCTGCGAGAAGTCTTCGATATGCGGGATCGGGTACTGATCCGGCTCTGTTCTAGCGTTAACTCCCCTGTAATCTCCGCAAGATCTCCAGGAGTCGCCTTTCTTCGGTACCATATGTAATGGTGATGACCATGGGCTTTTCGATACTCGAATGATCCCTTCTTGGAGTAAGAGATCGAATTCAGCCTTGGCCGCCTTGAGTTTGTCGGGGGCTAACCGGCGAGGACGGCTTGCAACTGGTGGGCCATTCGTGGTTTTGATGTGGTGGAGCGTGCTATGTTTTACCGTATGCCTCTTAGCAGTAGCCTTTAAGATATCAGGAAATTCTGCCAAGATTC